CACTGTATGACTCTATATTGCATCTGTATTCAGGCTGCTGAAGAATAAGTATCTCCTTTAACAGTGAAGGGAAAAAAATGTAAGTTGAGTAGGCCATGGGCAAAATAATAAATAGATGTTATTTATCTTTGATTCTCCTGTCTTTTTCCTTTCTCCTTCCTCCTTCATTGAAGGCAGGAATCTGAAGGTAGTCATTTACACTTTAGTGTACATTTGAAGTTCTCAATTATATCAAAGGGGAGTTGTCATTAGTTATAAAATAACTACTTCTATTTGAAGCAGCTTTTCAGGGAGATAGCAGAAGTATTTTGGGGGAACATGGGAACTTTCATCTGGGAATCACCTCTGGCAGAGAATTGTTAAGAAATATTCTACCTTGGACCTTTGTGCTTAGAGTTAGACTATGGAAGAGGTTTGAGGCAAATGGTCCATTCACTTCAGGGACCTTCCTCGAGCCTCTATATTTCTTATTACCATCCACCTTCTTAGGCCAGTACCTGGTAGTGACACTCATGGTGACCCAGGAAAATTGGATCAGGGGAAGTGGAAGGCTGTGCTAATGATTTATTAAACTCTGTGGCTTCATACTCCTCCACCAGATTCCCCACCAGAGGGTGCGGCTTGGGTCATGCTGGGCACACAGCAGCTTTGTGGTGGGTATCGGTTTGTGCTTCCTCTCCTTTGCTTTCGATTCAATGCCTTCCTGTTGCAGTTTGAAAAGTTCTAATTAACCATTGCCTCACAGCAGCTACCCCACAAGCAACCTGGATCCATGTAGGGGCAAGTGTAGAGTAACCAAAGGGTAAGGGTTAAGAGGTAAGAAAGGAGAGTGGTAGAAGCCACATGGAAATTTTTAAAAATCAATCAATCAAAAAACAGTATGGCAGAATGAATAACAATCAAGAAACCATTCTAATACAATTAAAAAATGTTCCAGTTTACATTCAGCTATGGTAAAAATCAATCATAAGTTAATAAATTCAAATATATTTCCATGTGAATTTTGGCTTTAATTCCAGAATCAGTTAAGCATCTAAGTTCAGTTCTGATTCAGGAATTAAAGCCAATGACAATTTGAGAGTAAAAATTCATCTGAATACACTTAAGTCCCTGTAGTAAAGCACTCAAGGCAAAGGAAATAGTATTTGTGAAGGTCCAGAAGCAAAAGGAAGGAAGGTGTATTCAAACCCTGAAGTCCAGCATGAGTGGAGGTCAGGCTGCTGGCAGGCTGATCATGACGGGCTTATGAGCTGTGTTAAGAAGTTTGTACTCTATCTTCAGGACAGTAGGAAGCAACTAAAGGGTTTTAAACAAAAGTTATTAATTCATCAGAACTGCATATAAAGAACATCCTGATGGCTGGTGGAAAATGATCCAAGGGGAGAAAAACTGGGTGTTTTTCCTAGGCAGGAAACAAGCAAGAGGAAGTGTAACACTTACACAGATGGTACTCACTTAGGTCAGGTGGTAGCAGTGGGAAAGGGGAGAAGTTGATAGAGACAAGGGGATTTTACTGGACTTGGTTATTGACTGAATATGGGGGAGGTAAGCAAATAGTACCAAGGATAAATCCTATGTTTCTGGCTATGGTAAGTAACTGGGTGGATGGTACAGCATATATTTGGATAAGGAGCAACATAGGAGGAACAGATTTGAGGGAATGAGTTGGTGGTTATGATTTTAGGAATTCCCAATTGGAAAAGTTCCAGGAGGCAGTTGGTTACAATGAATTTAGAGTTCAGGGGAGATAGAAATTTAAATGCCATTTGCATGTGGTCTAATAATGCCATGGAAGGAAAAAAGATTTCTTATTTCTCTCACACAGAGACTATGAGAAAAAAGAGGTTGATGTAGAACAGAGTCCTTAGAAATACCAACAACATTGAGTTTTTGGAGAAAGAGGAGCTTGCAAAGGATATTTTAAGATCCATATCTAAGGTAGGAATGAAAGAATAGCATATGGAAAACAAAGGAAGACAGTGAGTCTTATCAGGGAGGATATGGTCAGTAGCATCAGGTGCTCAGAGGTCAAGTAAGATAAAGACTGGTGTGTTGAATGAATTTAGTAATACAGAGGTTGTGGGACACATCAGTGTCCTTAATAAAAGGTTCTTTCAATACAGTGGGAGCCAATACCAGATTACTTTGTTGAAAAATAAATGAGCATTAGAAGCAGCAAGGTAGACAGCTCATTCAGCAATGTGTACCCAAAATGCTCTTTCATACTTTGATATAGCCTGCTCATTCCAGGACAGGCTGGAGTGAAGAATTTTTAAATTAACAAAAATCTGAGAAATATGTATATATTTTTTGAAGGGCAAGGCTAGAAGTCAGGAAGTGAGTGACTTATTTCCTGCTCACCAGACAAGAACTATCAACCAATAAAAAAAAGTCTATGTGCTCCCAGGTGCCAGTATGGGGGTGTTGGTCTACAATAAGCCAAGAATGTGATGCAATTCTCAAGAACAGGAAGAGGTTTAGCTGGAATGGAAAAGACTCTAACTTGGGGGTGGTGGGAGAAGAGGAAGAGTGGGAAACAGGAGTTTTTTTTTTCCTCTCCAAAAAAAGCAAAGCCAGAAATGAACTGGCCAAAGCAGAGGGAATTGGAAAATTATCTGAAAGCCTTCCAATCCCATCTCTCATTGCAATAGGGCAGACCAAAAAAAAAAAAAAAAAAAAGCATCACATTCAGAATTGGCTTTTATAAAGCACTTATCAGGAGAGAGAAATTACTCATCCTGTGGGGCCCTCAACATATGGGACATCCCCCTGAAATTTTCTCTTCAAGCAAAGAACAGCTATTATGATTACAGATGAGAAAATTTATCCATAAAATGAGGAGAGTGGCTATCAACTGCACAGGGCTACAGTGAGGATGAAAGAAAATCATGTCTGTGAAAGTACCTCATATACTGTTACAAATGGCTCAAATGTTAGCTGCTATCATTACAAGAAGATTCAACTGATTAAAGGTATAAAAGCACTAGGAAACTTTTAAACAAATTTGAATAATGAATGAGAAAGATCAGATATAAACTTCTCTTTGTATGACACAGATACTCTATGACAGGCATATGTAGACACTATTGGGAATCATTCTTTGAATTTAGGTAGGCATATTAAATTGGAAAGATTGGGCCTGAGCCCCTTACCTCCTCTTAAAAAAGAATGTATTTATTTAAAAACTAATGCCATATCCATGTTCATAGCAGCACAATTCATAATCATTACATTATGAAACCAGGTATCCATCAATGAATGAATAGATGAAGAAAATGTGGTATATATACATAATGAAGTTTTATTTAGCTATAAGGAGAAATGAAATTATATCATTTGCAGGAAAATGGATGGAATTTGAACCAAACTCCAGAGTCAAGGGTTGTTTGTTTTCTCTCATATATATGGAAGAGGGTGGGGGCAAGGGGGGAGGTAGGGAATCTCACTAAAATTGAAGGCAGACTAGTAAAGGAAGGGGACCCAGGGAAGAAGGAGAATAGCCAAAAGGGAGGTACTGGAGGATGAAATTGACCGAAGTATGTTATGTGCATGTATAAAAACATCACAATGAATCCCATTATTATGTAAAAAATTTTAAAAAAACAAAAACTGATGTTAAGTGATGTTTAAAAATTTGGGGTTAAGTGGGAAAACATGACTAGCGGGTTCTAGATGTGTTACAGAGTTAAAATGAGATTAAAGAAATAATTATTTTCTTCAGAGGACACATAAAAGGTAAAATGTTTTTGAAATGAGTAAAATGGTTGCTATAGTGTTTATTGTAATGAGATTAGCTTTGTCACCTAAAGATATATATATATATATATATATATATATATATATATATATTTGTGTGTGTGTTGGGGGGGTTCTGGAGATGGAACTGGGTCCATCTAGAGTGCTAGGCAAGCATTCTACCATTAAGCTACAGTCTCAGCCAAGACCACCATTTCTCTTTACAGTATAGTTGTTTTCCTCTCAAGGAAAAAGTAGACATTTTGAGGAAGTGGCAGAACCTTTGGATTGGAGTTTTGCTGCCCTCTTCTGGGAACATCAAGTTATGGCCTGAGAAAGGGACCTTGCTAAAGGATCCTCAATAACTTCAGTATACCAGAACAGGGAGACTGCCCTATCAAGACTGAGATAAATATGAAACTGGGTGGTAAAATTCCAGAGGGACAGGCATGACTGCACTGGTCACAAATGTTTATATTTAACAATTATGTCATAAAAATAACAGTGATCTAATATGACATACTTATTGGTCATTTTGAGGTTTAGAAAATCCTTAAAACAATACTGCTTTTTAAACCTCCTTTATCTCAAATAATCTACCAGTAGGTAGAACAGATATCATTTGCTTTTTCCATACAGAGAAACCGAGGCACACAGTACCTAAATAACTTATCTATAAGTACTACTGCTAGAGTGGTGAGCTGAGTCTAAGAGTTGTGTATAATGCTTTCTACCAAGTACAATGCTTTCTACCATTTTTTGCCTGCTGCATGCATGTGATACAAGCAAATTGTCTCTGATGCAGTTTCATGTAAATCTCTAATCCTCTTCAGTAATGTCCATTTTACACTGCAGGGTTCAATTGATAAAAATAAATATGCTGCTTTGAATATGATTCTAACAAAAATATGCTACAGTGAAAGCAAATATAAAATTTATATAAATTCCTTCAACAAAGTGGATGAGTCTATAGCAGGTCTTACACTGCTTTGGAAGCTCTTTTGTGTCTTTTTTTTTTTAAGAATCTTTGAAAAGTAGAATTTTTAATTTTATTATTATTATTATTATATTATTATTATTATTATTATTTTCTTTGGTGGTGCTGGGATTGAACCTAGGTCCTTGTGCATGTGAGGCAAGCACTCTACCAACTGAGCTATATCCCCAGCCCCAGAATTTTTATAACATACTTAAATCCCAACACTACACTGGTAAAAAACTGAGAAAACTGAAGATTAAAATAAAACAAAAATAACAAAGAAAAATCAATTTGAAAGTCAAAGTACTTTTATTTTAAAGTTCTGAGTGCATAAGTAAACATACTGCATGATAATGCAAGTGGGCTAAATAAGAGAAACACAAAGAAATATAATCTCCAGTACTTCTTTTGTCCCTGCATGCTCAGTCTAACATACCTCACTGCTCACCTACACAAACTCCTTGGAAAAAATTGGGAGTTCAGCAGGTGCACACTCCCATCAGTGGGTGAAAATTAAGCCTTAAACCAGTTTCTTAACAGTAGCATGGTAAAAAATTTACCTCATATGGCATATTGATTAAGGTATTTATCACTGAACTAAAATCACTTTTTCAGATGAAAAATTGTAAAGTAATTGATAGATAATTAAAAGTTCACTAGATACTATTTATACAACATAAAAGCAACTAACTATAGGCATGTTGGTCAACTAGAAATATTCTCAGACTGAAATCTGATGGTCTCACTGATTTTTGTGCTTTTTCTCTTATTCTAATGTGCCTATTTCCTTTCCTTCTTTACCTCCTTGCCTTTCAATTGTTTCTGCTACAATCAATTTTACCCATATTCTCCAAAGTGTTCACAATATATTATTGATCCTCTTTTTTGTTCTGACTTTTTTAGCATGCTTCTTTTATCTTCATTCCTTTACTAGGCTATACCATTATTCACCATTTTTTTCCTTTCAAATTATTCTTTTTTTAGAAAAGAGCATTAATTTTTTTAAGTCAACATATTTATTCTGCAAATATTTGCTGAGTACCTCCCATGTGTCAGTCACTGTACTAAGTACAAGGATTCAAAGACATGAATAATAATTGGTCTCTATCTCAAAAACACAAACACATACCAACTGGTATTTTTAAAGTGGTAATTTTGTGCTAGAAATATGAACATGATAATGTGGGAGGATGGAAATGAACTTCTCCCAGGTCATGAGAATGTTAAAAAGGCTTTATAAAGGAGATAAATTTGAGCTGGGTCTTGGAAACTTATCAAACTTATAGGGAAAAGAACAGGAGGAAAATATTCTAGAGAAAAGGTACAGAACAAATCACAGCACAAGGTAAGTATTTGACAGTGTAGAAGAGCTCAGATTATTTGATGTGACTAAAGCAAACTACAGGTGGTGGAAAGTGGTAAGATATGGGTTTGAAATGGTACAATGGGGCCAGATTGTGGACTGGAGTACATGATCTCTTTCTACAGGAAATGAGGTATGATTAGCTCTTTTGGAAAATTTGGTAGTATTGAGGTGAAAGAGGAAGATACAAGGAAGATAGTAAGGAGACTACTGAAAAAGTCCATGTTAAAGTTAGTAAGTGCTTGCTCCCAAGAAAGTGAAGAGAAAGAGGTGGGTGAGAAATATTTTGGAGGTTGTGAAAAACAGATTTTGGTCAACAGTTGAGTTAGAAGTAGGAGGAAAAGAAGGAGTTAAATTCAAGTTATGACTTTTAGCTCAGATAAGGGGATGGCAGATGATGAGTAAAAATTTGAAATATAGTACTGATTCATAAAAGCACAGGTTAGGTTTTATCTTTGAGAATAATGAAGTGGAGGTGATAATGTGTTTTAGATGTAATGAATAAAGTATTTATGGGATATTCAAAAACAGATATTCAAAGAGCAGCAAAAAATTTGGGTCCAGAACTCAAGTTAAAGATGGGTATATTTGGGATTAATCACTAATATAAGAGAAGCCCTAGATTAAAAAACAAACAAACAAACAAAAAAACCCTTTTCTTTGAATTCTTGCATTGTTTGAAATGTTTTACAAAAGGAGTCCTTAAAGCAGGGGTACATATATTTGTACATATCTCTGTTGACTTAATATGTGCTGAATAAAGAAAGAACAGAATATATTACAAAACCAGTCAAAAGTAAGATTAAATAAGGCCTAAAAATAAACAGCAATACTCAGTTGATTTTGAAGCTCTGATTTACAGAAGCAAAATTGCAGCATTATGTTAACTTGGAAATGAAAACCACATGGGAAATGAAAAAGAAAAGAAAATGGGAGAGAATTAAAAATGTAACATCAAGTGAGGGAAACAGAAGAGAATGGGTAAAAGGACACAGGTAAAAAAAAGTAAAGTAAAAATTTTTTTTTTTAATGAGTGGAGTTTTTACTTTGCTAAACTGTTAGTGAATTAGTTATAGAAAACTGTTGAATTATCACTGAGATTAAGTGAAAAAGGAAGCAATTATGGGAATATATACATATAAGCCAAGTGTGAAAAAGGGCAAACAAAATCATAAGAGCAAAAGTTATTTACAAAGAATAAAGGGAAAATGATAAAATAAATTAAAAAGGACAGAAAAATGAAATGATAAGAAAATATACAAAAATAAGCATACTACTAATAATAGGACAGAGTAAAATGCTTAAGACAAACGTGTCTATGTTATTATTTAGGAGTAGTAAACAGTGTAGTGTAGTGATTATGTGTGTTGCTGCCTTGGATTTGAATTTCTGTATCTCAACTTGCTAGCTATGTGGCCTTGAGCAAAGAAAATGGCTACAAAGATTATAATACCCATAAGTTGTCCAATACTTAATACTCAACAAATGAAGATTATGAGAGAAAAATTAGTCCAGTGTATATTACTATATGAAAGTCCAACCTCCAGTGATTTTTCTAATTTAAAACATGGATTGTTACAGCCCTTGAAATAAGCTTTTTAAGAACTAAATGATTAAATTGCCTGAGACAGTTTTACCTGAAGTGTCAATTCTGCCTGACAATAATCATGAGTAAGAATAGGATGTGAAATTCAATTTGCTCATTGTATCTCAAACTATGTCATTCATAGTAAAATATTTTCTTGGTGGGGGAGTCATCTTTACAATACCAGTTATTTGGTCCAGTTAGTTAATAAGCAATCACAAAAACAACATCTACATAACCGTGTTTGTTGCCTTCCTTTTGAACTGCCTGAAAAATACCCTACCAGATGGGGTTTAGTTAATTGTGCTAAACACACTAAAAGCCTTTACAGTGTGTTCAACAACACTCAAGCTTAGAATAGAAGTGAAAACTGAGGTGGGAGTTTTCACTATCATAATAGTGAACTATCAATAAGGAAGAATTTAAATTATGAGATATTTTACTATACATGTTTTATTAAATCCTATGTGTACAGAAGTGACTTCTTTTTAACTTGCCTTTGTAAGAAGACATCTTACTAGTAAAAGCAGAAAATAAAAATTTCAAAATCCTTAATTTTGATATAGAGAAACTAGAACAACAACAAAAAAATCAGCAGAACCAGATCTCTGATTGTAGTACGGGGAAATATTATTTGATATAAACGTATCTGTACACATAGTTTTTCAAGAATACATCTCATCTAAAAAGTTTGTTCAAACTGTAGAATTTTTCAGACTCACCACAACTAGACAGTGTCCAAAGCTTCTGGGTTCTTAACCTTTGAGTCCCACATCCTATATATTGGAGTTCTTAACTGAGGGACCATCGACCACTAGGTCATGAAAAAGCTTTAGGGTCCTTGAATAGCCTGAAATGGTTTGTGACACTTGATATGCATGTACATAAGAATATTTTCTGGGGGTAAAGGCACATACATTTCGTCAGATTTTCAAAGATTTCTCACAAAGTTTAATGATCAGTGTTAAAGACATTTAAATAACCAGATGTGTGTACAATGTGCCAATCCTCAACTCACTGCAATCTGACTTTGTCCTCAGCTCTCTGGAATCATTTCAGCCTACAGGATTAAGTTCCTGGTTGTTAAATTCAAAATATATTTTTTTTGGGTACTTAAGTTTATTTGACTGTTTGATAGTTCCGTATTTTGTTTAAAAGCACTGATTCTAAAAATCCAGCTGCCTAGGTTCAAATCTTGGCTCCATCAATTTTTAGCTTTGTGACTGGGCAATTTACTTAATGTGCCTCTGAGTAGCATTCTTTATAAAGTTTCTTTATTCATAGAATGCTGTGACCATCAAAGGGTTGAGTCAATGCAAGAATAATTTAAAAACCTTCTAAAAAACAAAGTGTTATGTTATCTGGTATCTCTAATTACTCTTTTCTTGAAAATCATTTGAAACTGGCCTAAACCTGACTTGTCTGACAAGTCCTTGGTTTTAACACCCTATTTCAGGTTTTCCTTCTCCAATGTATCTTTTACACTATGGCCAAAATGATCATTTGAAACTATAACTAGCTATCCTGTGCTATGGCCATTAATAAAGTCTAAACTCCTTAGCATTATAGACAAGACCCTTTATTATAGTATATCATTCTAGTTCTTCCTTATATCTCAACTGTCTCTACTTGAGTTAAGCTAAACCAAGTTGTTACATTCCCAAAATATGCCTAACTCTCTCTACATATGACTTGAACATGCTATGAACTCTACATGCCCCATTCTCCTTCTCTTGAAATAAATTAACTCTCCTTTCTTAATGTGCCTGCAACAACTTCACACAGTATTTATCACATTCTATTTTAGATGTTTGTTTGATTCCTGATACAATTCATCTAGTTAGATCTTCCCACTACTCCTATTAAGAACAAAAGGGGCTGGGCAATGGTACAGGCCTGTAATCCCAGCTACCTGAAAGGCGGAGGCAGTAGGACTATGTCAAAATGTGAGGGCCAGCCTGGGCAACTTAGTGAGACCCTGTTACAGAATCAAAAATTTAAAAAAAGACTAGGGTTGTAGCTCAGTAGTAGAGAGACCTTGAGTTCAATTTCCAGTATGGGGAAAAACCAAAAACCCAAATGGGGCTGTATTTATGAATCTTATTCTGTTATTTTTTCACTACCCTGATCTTAAACCACTTTCCTATTCCTTTATTCTTCATTATCATATCCTTTCTTTTTAATTAGTGCAATGAGGTTAGGTGGAAATGTACCTAGAAAGGATATGTGTACATAAATTAACTAGATAACAAAACTTCACACTGAAGGGAACATTCTAGAAGGATTTATTTCATTGCTGACCATTAGGTTGCAGCATGCAACTTCTCAACAATAAGGTGCCACTCTCCACTCCTACAAAAGCACCAAATGCTATGGTACTACCACTTAGGTTTTCAGTTTTATTACCAATTGTCATATGCCTTTTAGGGACTTAAAAGCACTTATTCTCTATAAAAGAAACCTCATATTTCATGCATAAAATTCTAATTGGCAGATACAGATCTATAATAGAAAGAAGAAAAAAATCCTAGTTCTGTTAAGTTATCAGAAATAAAATAAGCATTTCTACTTGCCTTGTTTTAAGGAAATGAGATTATTTTTTTTCCTACCAGGAATCAGAACAGTGGTTCTGATGATCCTTTAAGGTTATAAAACTGCTTACTAGTTAAAAGTTCCCTCTAAAGATGTTAAGAAGTTGGCTTATTTTCCTGTATAGTTTAAAGAAATATTTGCAGTATGTGCAGGAGTTATAGGTTATATTGTAGACACTGGCATTAATATTCAAAAGGCCTATTATAATCCCCTTTTAAAAAATTCCATGTCAGAAGGTAAAAGGAAATCCCCAATTATCCCTGAGTGAAAAAGGAAAAAAAAATTATAGTTACTTTTATTGGTTAATAGAAGTCATTATAAATGAATTTTCTATCTTTAGAACATTCTTGAATACTTTGCATAAACTGAAACAGGAATGAGGTGCTCTCAGATTTGCTTAGATAAATGTAGCAGTATGATTAGTTCATCTGCAGAGATTTCAAATTTAATTAACTATATAGCTGAACAGTTTCCATTTTGAAATGTGACAATATCCTGAAAGGATGTTCATGGGACATGAAACTAATGGATAAAGGGGAATTTTTAAAATGTTAGCAGGAAAAAAAAACAGAGTAGGGAAAACTATAATGTAAGTAAGGGGCAAGACAAAGCTGTAGTACTGAGCTGGGCCTTCTCTTTAAGCCAGGGGCCTCTAGCAATCCTATGCTATACCTGCTTTTATAATAATATAAACAAAAAGCTGAGAAATAAAATTAATAATGTCCCAAACTAAGTCTTTTGTTTAAAGAGTAAATAAGAGAAAAATTTTAGCTTCTTAATCAAGGAGTGCTTTATAATTTCAAGGCATCTTAATATAATTCATTTAACCCTACAGCAATTGTGCAACAAGCAAAATATCATAAAAGGAAAACAACAAAGGTTAATTCCTATAGGGGCCAACAGACAGGATTGGTGCAGCACAGTAATTAACCTTCACATACTTGGAGTCTTGTTTGAAAGGCAGAAAAAACTCAGATTACTGAAAATCACAAATGTCACCAACAAAAGGAATGTTGATTAAAGTCAAAAGAACTTCCCAAAGGGTTGCCTTCTTTGAAGGAATTTCAGAATATTGCTAGCACAGATTGGCTACCTTAAATCTCACTAATGGCTCCATTGAGAATGAGAATGCCCAGTCAGTGCTGTTAAAAATGTACTGGGAGGGGAAAAACAAAATAAAATAATCTACTGTTCCCTAACATATATGGCTTAGCACCCAGAGAAAGCCTCTGCCCCCAAAAGAGACTTTCCACAAAGGGTTAAGCTTCATTAAATGAGGCGTACTCTTTCATTTTCAGGATGTCTTTTCTTGCAAGGTCTTTAGAGGCAGAAGTTCCTCTTGGATTCTAATACACATTTCTGTGAGCTCAGCTTCCTGAAAACTTACACCTGCCAGGTTCTAGGTTCTCCCTTATCAATGACTGGATTCACTACTTCACAGCCACCAGAATCTCACATACACTATTAACATGATGAAAAATACAGCTACCGCTGCAAGTTTGGCATAAGTGGAACGCATGTTCAAGTACTTCGCATCCTGGCGGTATTTCTTGGACAGACTGGACAAATTGTTGGCCTTTGAATCCAATGCTGTCAAAGAGGAAAAAGGAAACCATAAATTAGTCCTAGGAAGTATTTCATCAATAATATTAAGGCATAAAAATAACCAAAATGAGAGGCATGATATTAACAATGAAACTTAAATTTTCCTTTAAGGGTAAGGTTACATATATTAACTCAAAACTGCAGTGCTATGAAATTTATAATATATTTTAAAATCATCTGACCAAATTATGTGCAAAATTATTGAGGCTGTATAGTGTGGTGGTCGGGAGCATAAATTTTGGCCTTAGACTCTCTGGTTCAAATATCAGCTGCACCAATCATGTAATTAATGTTCATCAAGTCCCTTAGCCTTTCCCAGTCTCTTTCTTTCTTTTAATATTTTTGTAGTTGTCAATGGACCAATATTTTATTTATTTATACACAGTGCTGAGAATCAAACCCAGTGTATCACACATGCTAGACAAGCACTCTTACCACTGTACTACAACCCCCCAGCCCTCTCTCAGTTTCTTTATCTATAAAATATAAGGTACATAAGATTGCTTGTCAAGTGAGAACAATGCCTGCACATATGGTAAATACTTAATAAATATTACCTGACATTTTCTAATAATTATCATCTTTATAATATTTTAATCATAATATTATCATTTTTATAATCTTTTAATAATTTAAGTCACATTATATCATATTTTTTAAAATCATAATCCATGTAAGATAAGAATTAGATAACTAACTAGAAAATTCAGTTAATCAGACACAGTATTAAACTACACTTCAGTGGTATAGTTTAAAATTTCTGAGATTTTCCACATAGAAAAGACAATTATGAAGTTAAAACTGTAAGAAATTATATTTCAACAGGCATAGGAATGTAAAATTGTAATTAAAATGTAGTAACAGGTCCTCAAACAAAAAAACACCAAAATGTAGTAAATTAAGTTTTTAGCATTTTCTGAGAAGTTTGCCTTCCCCCAACCTAGAACATTGGTAATGCTATTATCTTCTTTTAATTGTTACTGAGTACTTAGATATAGCCAGATAAAAACTAGGTCAGATTAACACATAGGACATATTTAAATAATGAAAAGCTTTGACATAAATTAATTCTGATAAAACTTTTCATTTACTTAAATTTTTACAAAACATTTTGCAATCTCAATTTGTTTATTCTCTCTTGAGATAATACAACTGGAATATTTGGAATTGCTTAATAGAGACTGGTTTTGATTGAGAAATGTGGCATTACTTAATAACCCAAGTATGATAGTCACATCTGAATTTACAAACTGGTCATACGAGTAAGAAAAAAACCTAGTCATGAAAAAAATCAATTAGGGGATGAGAAATAACCATGACAATGATCAAGAAATCTTTCTATCTGGTCTACTAGAAATGTACCCTCCATTGGACAACAGAATTTTATTGTTTTTACTGCTATATCCCAGGCACCCAGAATGACATATAATTAATGCTGAATAAATTTGCCAAATAACTCTAAATCTGCTGAGCGTAACTGGGCAGAGGAACGAGTATTAGGTCATATGAAACAAGTGATAAGAGAATTCCTCAATAAAGAAACATTTTGAACCACATGATATCATAAAGTTACTGCTTGGAGAAGTCATTTAGCAAATATTTATGCTATATAGTAGGACTATATGAAGTGACAGAAGATTCAGTGATGATCAAAAATACATGATCCCGGCCTCTGGAATTTATAGTCTCGTAGAGGTAATATCATGAATGAAAAAACACAATTCAGAGCTTAAAAGATAGTTGTACTAGACATTAAAAAAAGGCATAATTTAAATTTGCTGAAAGAATCCACAGGAACTACTCTTAGTCTTAAATGCAAAGCAGACTACCTATTAAACTAAAATTAGAAAGAGAAGAAGGTATAAAATATTTATTCTTAAGAAGCTTAAAGAGGAGAAAATATTCTTTGAAGTAGGCTAATCTCTTTACTGTCCTTTAAATATGCTCTGTTCTGATGTTTTTTTCTTCTACTTAAGATACTTCCTTGTCTATGTAAATTCAAAAGGCTTTCCTTGCTCACTTTACATTTTTCTATATCCTTCTATATTAATATAGCTCTTGTTATCTACATATCCATTTAAAGTTACTGTACACTGAAAAAGGACAAGGACTCTAGAGGCCAACGAATCTTGCTAAGTATCAGCAGTGATTTTTAGTAGGCCACATAACTTTTCAAGATTTTTGCTTCTTTATTTGTAAGACTGGTTTGATATCACCCATTACACATGAAATAATTATGAAGATTAAATAAGATACATATAAAACTTCCCCAGCAGATTAGAATAAGTGTCCAATAGATGTTTATTCCCTTATACTGCCTGTTAATTACTCTTTGAGACGGTTTCTTATCTCCCCAAAAAGATGAAGCTACTTAAGGTAGACAAGTACTTCTTTTTAAATCAGCATATCAGCTTTTTAACACAAAACACTAGAGGAGAATCCTTTACATTGTTGGTAGACTGACAGATGTATAAATTTTGGATTTAATAAAAGCGTCTATGCTACTCTATCTCAGGTAGAAACTGTAAGTCTATTATGAAAAAAGTGGCATGGTATTGGCACCAAAACAGACTTGTAGACCAATGGTACAGAATAGAGGACACAGAGACAAACCCACGTAAATATGGTTATCTCATACTAGACAAGGGTGCCAAAAACATTCACTGGAGATAGCCTATTCAACAAATGGTGTTGGCAAAACTGGAAATCCATATGAAGCAAAATGAAATTAAATCTCTATCTCTCACCCTGCACAAAAACCAACTCAAAGTGGATCAAAGACTTAGTTACTAGAACAGAGACCCTGCCGCTAATAGAAGAAAAAACAGGCCCAAATCTACACCATGTTGGCCTAGGATCTGACTTCCTTAACAAGACTCCTAAAGCGCAAGTAAAATCAAGAATCAATAAATGGGATGGATTCAAATTTAAAAAGCTTCTTCTCAGCAAAGGAAACAATAATGTGAAGAGAAAGCCTACAGATTGGGAGAAAATCTTTACCACATGCACCTCCGATAAAGCATTAATCTCTAGGATATATAAAGAACTCAAAAAACTTAACACCAAAAAACCAAATAACCCAATCAATAATAGAAGAAATACAACTGATCAACAAACATATGAAGAAGTGTTTAACATCTCTAGCAATTAGTGAAATACAAATCAAAACTACTCTAAGATTTCATCTCATTTCTGTTAGAATAGCAATAATCAAGGATATAGGCAACAGGGCTGGGGATGTGGCTCAAGCGGTAGCGCGCTCGCCTGGCATGCGTGCGGCCCGGGTTCGATCCTCAGCACCACATACCAACAAATGTTGTGTCCGCCGAGAACTAATAAATAAATAAATAAATATTAAAAAAAAAAAAAAGAATATAGGCAACAATAAATGTTGGTGAGGATGTGGTAAAAAAGGTACACTCATACATTGCTGGTGGGACTGCAAATTGGTGCAACCACTATGGAAAGCAGTATGAAGATTCCACAGAAAACTGGGAATGAAACCATCATTTGATCCAGCTATTCTACTCCTTGGTTTAAAATCAGCATGCTATAGTGATGCAGCCACATTAATGTTTATAGCGGCTCAATTCACAATAGCTAGACCAACCTAGGTGTCCTTCAATAGATGAATGGATAAAGAAAATATGGTACATATACTCAATGGAATATTACTCAGCTTTAAAGAATAGAGTGAAATTATGGCACTTGCCTGTAAATAGATGGAGTTGGAGAATATCGTGCTAAGCAAAATAAGTCAATCCCACAAACCAAAGGCCAAATGTTTTGTATAATATGTGGACACTAATTCATAATAAGGTGGGGGGCACTAGGGAAGAATAGCGTTACCTTGGATTAAGTAGAGGGAAGTTATGGGAGGGGAGAGGAAGGGATGTGGGGATAGAAAAGATAATAGAATGAAACAGACATTATTACTGTATGTGTGTGTGTGTGTGTGTGTGTGTGTGTGTGTATGTATGTGTGTGTACATGAATAGCCAAACAGGCTATTCATGGAACCCACTGCAATAAGTCTTCTAACATTTTCCTCTTATTTTTCTTTTTATTTTCCTTAACTTGTAAAAATGTTTCTGTACATAATTTTGTAAATTTTTGTAGAGTAATTGCTTCAAAGAAATATATATATGTAGTCATATATATATATGACTACATGACCATGATTCTGCAACATGTACACTCAGAAAAATGAGAAATTATATCAAATATGTACAATATATCAAAGTGTATAAATGCATTCTACTATCATATATAACTAATTAAATTAAAAAACTCATAAATAAATAGCTTATTTGCTAAAAAAAAAACTTTATAGACTTATCCTCAAAATTTGATGTTTAGGGTGTAAAGCTATATGCTAGGATAACTGCCACTACCAACACAAAGAGTAAAGTTTTGGTTCATACTAAAGGATAACTATTTACTAATATGTAGCAAGGCTGAATTTTAGAAATATTTATTAATGAGTGTATAGTGAGGGATAAAAGTAGCATGTGAAACAGATATAAAAATTCATAAAATACTGTCTTTAAAGAGTTTACATGTCTGCCTCTAATACTTGGGTAACATTTAAACATCAGATAAATACATATACTTTAATTATTTACAATTTAAAATTACTATAGGTAATTCAATCTCAAGCACTACACACATACACAAAAATCACTATAGGCAAAAAATGCCTAATTTTACATATATATGTAACCATTTTACTGCAAATATATTTAAGTATCTATATTGAATACATATTGAACATATATTAATAATATATTTAATGCAAATATTTGAGGTGAATTGGGTAAATAAACATATACAACACAATCATCCACAAAAAAAGCCATGTAACTAAATGTTTTAAGAGTTTAAAAAGTACAGACGAGATTATGTGATGTGGGCTATAAGGATCAAGGAGGGTTTCTTTGAAGGAGCAATTCTTGTCTACATCTTAAAGATTAGATCCATACAGTGAGAATGGACCATTAAGAATGGTGAGTAAGCTCACCTAGCTGATAGACAGAATATTTGTGAACTAGGGAGAATGATAAATATTTTGCAATCTCCTTCTTTTCCATTGGTTTGGTGGTAGTAAAATCTCCCAAACAGGCTATTCATGGAACCCACTGCAAAAAGTCTTTTGACATTTTCCTCTTATTTTTCTTTTTATTTCCCTTAACTTGTACAAATGTTTCTATGCATAATTTTGTAAATTTTTGTAAAGAGTAATTGCTTCAAATACGTACGAATCCTTTACACTCTTCTAACACAACAAAAACTAATCACGTTAGGGAAAAAAAATGTATCATACTGGAAACCTTGTAATGTAATCTTTTCTGAAACATGAATTCTTAACAGTCCTGGCAAGAATCTGACTGCAATAAAAATAAGCTATCCTTGCCTATGGTATTGCTTTATTAAGTCTCATATTGTGTTCAGATACCTGAGAGTGCTTCTCCTCGTTGTAACACTTCTTCAATATTGGCCACCATGATTCTCTGCACATCTTGCAATTCAGTGTTGATAGAGCCTAGGTTTCTCCGAGCACGACTGTCAATGTATAGCTTCTTGGTTTTCTGAATGAAGGTATCTACAACAATGAAGAAAAGTGACCATTGACAACTCCTTTCAAGTCCATCGAAGTATTCAAGTAGGAAATTAGAAATTTTGAGCTTATTGGATTTGCCACTGTCCCTGGTTTAATCAAGCACATGGGGTGAGTATCAAAATCTAGGTTTTGATTTCTTTTTTTTAAACATTTTATTTTTTAGTTGTAGATGGATACAATATTTTATTTTTATTGGTGCTGAGGATCGAACCCAGGGCCTCGCGCGTGCTAGACAAGCGCTCTACCGCTGAGCCACAATACCAGCCCTAGCCTTTGATTTCTTCATTTGTAAAATGTGAAGCTGTAACTAGGTGACCATTCAGGGGATATGAGCTTTAGAGAATTCTGAATAAAAAGTATTTGCTATTAGACATTTTACAGAAATAAAGACCACTATCATAAGCCTTTCCTAAAAGCAGAAAATTTCAAATTATATTTGGTTTCAATACTTATTCTATACATTCCCAAAAGTATGCAGGTAACACCCTACCATCATTATAGACTAACAAGGCAAAAGAGTTAGTGATTACTAAAAAGTTATCATTACAAATGTTGCCTTAAAGTATTTTCTTTAATATATTTTCCTAATGCCATGACATTCTTAAAATTTGGGTAAAGTAAGCATGTGACTGGGAATTTCCTAAAATACCAATGTAAAGCTGCAGTCTCATTCATCTTTAGCCAACGTTGGTGTAGAATAATTTATTATTAAAGATACTTTTAATTTTTGGCAAAAATCTGAAGTTATATGTGCTAGACACCTTTCACTTGGCCTCTTTGGATCCCTTCCACCTTTTTGCACCTTGCTTTCTATCTTGGGAACCTGACCTGTATGGTGTACCTCAATGGGCTCCTTACCCTCTGGCTTCCAGCAAAGATCAGGCAATGAAGGAGGCCCCAAGAGTAGAAAAGGTTTGGAACAGACCGGTGATATTGATACTTATTCCCAATAACTTCCTAACAAGTCACTTTCAGCTGGAAGTGTCTCTCTTGCAAAAGTTAGTGCTCCTAACTTTTGGTTTCTCCTATAAATTTCTTCTTTTCAATTCTAAAAACTGCTCCTTCCTTTTATGCCTTCAAGCCTAGGGATGGTAAAACTACTTTATTACTGATTGTAGATTACTATGCCTTATGGTTCTCTTAAAGCCCATTCATATAAATCTTCAGGTATAGCCAGTTAAGCTTGTTTGAGCGTACCATCTATTTCCTGTGTGACCTTGACACATGTGTCTTAGTTTTTCTTTAGGTTTACTAAATTGTTATTATCTACAAAAACAAAATCTGAACAACTGGACATTATATGAATTAGCTTTTGGAGAGTTTATAGTTATGAAACACTATTTTGCCAAATTTTTAATTTCTATAAGGCATCACTCACTTATCAGGCAAACTTGAAACACTCCAGAAATTCTAAGATAGTAAAATTACTTACTTTTTAACTAAAAATTTCAGCAATGTAGCATGATCCTACTTATTCTCACTCTATATTTGATGTTCTTAGGATATTTCTTTTGATATATTGCCATTAGATACTTTACGAGGTCTGACTAGTATTGAATCTTTTCATATTTCCTATACAAGTACAGATAACCACACTCACTACTTCTGAATATAGTAAATATCAGTCTCCAATCAATAACACATCTTCTTGTATTTTTTTAATTAGGATACTTTTCTACTAAAAGAAACAAAATACCATTTTTTCTCATTTCCAAATTCTTATCTCCAAAAAATGAATCTTAATATTAGCATGTGTCTAAAGGTTGGAAGAAAGAAGACTCAGCTGTTATAAGCCCATCAAGTAGAGCTTTATGCATAGCTCTGGTCACAAATGCAACTAATTGGTGGTGGTGCATGCCTGTAATCTCATAGGCTCTGGAGGTTGAGGCAGGAGGACTGTGAATTCAAAGCCAGCCTCAGCAACTTAGCAAGCCCCTAAGCAACTCAGTGAGACCCTGAGTCTAAATAAAATACAAAAAAAGGAGGAGGACGCAGCTTGATGGTTAAGCACCCCTGGGTTCAATCCCCTAGAACACACACACAAAAAGCCCCTAATGAAGAATCAAGCCAAAGAACAAAAAGGCAACAAGATCAAAAGGGAAAAGATAATTATAACTAGAGAATATTACTTCTAAGAAGGGAACCTCATTCATTCAAAGAGACAAAAAGAGGGCCAGGTATGGTGGCACATGCCCATAACTCCAGCAATTCAGAAGATTGAGGCAAGAGGATCTTAAGTTTGAGGACAACCTTGGCAATGAGCTTAGTAAAACCCTGTCTCAAAATAAAAACCAAAAGTACTGGGGGTGTGTAGCTTACTGGTAAGGTATCCAGGGTTAAATCCCAGGACCACCAAGAAATAAAACAAAAAAACAACCAAAGAAGAAAAGGGACAAAAAGATGTAGAATGGGAGAAGAGGCTAAAGCCAAAATTCCAGTAAGGTAAACATCAGGGAAAAAACGTGTCCAAATTTTATCAGTGTAACAAATAGCTTTTCCTCTATAATGTTTGTTCCCCTAATAAAGAAGTGAGGAGCATAAACTTACCAAACTCAATAAAGGAGTAAGGTCTAGACACAGTAGGCACCTTTTTCCCATGCTGTTCATCAAATTCTGAGTGCAAATCTTCTAGGTAGGCAAAAGCCAACTTCTTAGGGAAGGCAGCTTCACACAAAACCAGATAACACACTCCCTGCTCAATAATATAGCTGAAAAGACAAAAAAGCAAGACAAAGTTGTTTACAAAGTTAACAGTACTTCAAACTTGTTGAAGCAGACTCTGAGGACCATATAAACTTGTGAAAATGTCTAGTTTAATCTCTCTGAGGCTGGCCAAGAGAAGATCAATTTCAAACCACAAATTCTCAGAATCAGAAAACAAACATCTTCTCATTAAGAGACATATATCCCAAAAGGAGTATAACTGTTTTATTCATTATACAATTCTTCAACTAACATACATCAATACCTAAAATTTCTTCTTAGAAATAGATTTTTCACTATATCTACCCTTTGATTTTGTAAGTGAACTAGTATACATATATTAAATTTCTTCTAGTCACAAAGTAAAACTGGAAATTTTTGTGGATACTTAAAAGCTGAAAATAAACAGCATATTATTTACTGGGTACAGACAAATGTGGCCTTGGAACTAATAATGCTCTCTGATTTCCAGGCTAGGAAAACTATAATCAATTGGAAACTATTGAACAACAGAATTGGCTTCCATTTGTGATAGGGAGTTCTCTGGATTATACAACTACATGTATGAGATATTCTTGGGAAAAGTTTAGGCTATAACTTATACGCTTTCAAACTTCTTTTTTAGCTATAGTATTCTTTTTTTAAAAAAAATATTTTTAGCTGTAGATGGACATAGTAACTTTATTTATTTATTTTTATGTGGTGCTGAGGATTGATCCCAGTGCCTCACACATGCTAGCCAAGCACTCTATTACTGAGTCATAATTTCAGTCAGCTATAGTATTCTTTACTTCAGCAAAAATCATACTTAAAAGACCTATGTGTACAGATTATTTTAGAAGTTATTTAGTTTAAATAGGAGTTTAAAGGCCAAAAGCATTATATAAACTCCCATCCCTGTCCTATGTAACACCTGAGGTATCCTATGGCTTCACAAAAGACAATTTAAAGACTATTACAGTATCTTAGGCTCCTAAATATCATACTAATTACTTGCTTAGAAACCTGAAATAACAGTTCTCCCTGCCTTCAAGCTATATCATCTTCTATACCACGTTTTATTCCCCTCAAATTGACAGTATCACATTGCCTTGTGTACAAACTCTAGAGGTTCTCCAACACCTATGCAATAGAATCATACTTCTTGAAGTATTTATAGCCCTTCAAATTTCTAAGCTACTTTCTATCACATATTCTAATATACCAAATGGCAAGCTGTTTCCTAACAAGCTAGGTTTTAAATTTTAAAATATTTTTGTGAACTTCTACTTATGCTGTCATTTCTAATTATAATACTCTTTTATATACTTGGAGAAATCCTGTTCATTTTATATGCTCAATTGTATTATAATTTTTTTCTGTGAAATTTCTCTGCATTTTCTCTTCCTCTATCCCTTTCTTCATATTAACCCCCACAAATGGGAATTTACTGCTTCCTTCTCTCTCCCCCAAAGCATTCAGATTGCATTACAGCATTTCTTGCCCTGAAATATTATGATATACTTGTTTTAATATATGTTTCTCTCAGCTAGTAAAAAGATAAGCTCATTAAAGGTAATGATATTAAAAGGAAGACTTAATATAGGGCCTGGCAAGTAAATCTTTAATAAATAGCTCTCTGGTAGAAATAAAAGATATGAGATTATGAACATCCTAAAGGAACCAGACAGAAGAAAATCCTTTAATTCTATAAGAACTTTCCTAAGTCTTTTGTTTCCTCATCCATGGTAGACATATACAGTCCCTCAGTAGTTACAAGAGGTTGCTTCCTGGACCCTTGTGGATACGGAAATCCAAGGATGCTCAAATCTCTTATATACCAATAGATATGGAAGACTAATTGTATTATATAATTAATAGCATAATTACATAATTATATTGCTATGTTGCCCAGGCTGGGGTCAAGCAAGCTTCCTGCCTCAATGTCATAAGCAGTTGTGACTATGGGTATATACAATCTTAAATGACTGCCTAAATGACTATTTTTTGGTGTTGAAAATTAGATTTATATAGAATGTTTCAGATACTATATAAATTGATACCTTACAAAATGCAATGTCTACCATTTTCTTAATCAACAGGCCAAGGTTTTGTTTTTATTTGGATATATTTAATTACTCGTCTTTGATAAATGGTGGTATTTTGTATTTTTTATTTTTAGTCAAACCCAAAATGTTCCTCTTGGGTCTAAATTACTGAGTCCCTAAAATGGCAAAGATTATTTAGCTGAAACCTTTTATTTTTCTGTGATCTTGTAATTTTCCTGCTATATCAGATTCAAATTTGACATGTACTGAACATTTAATACCAGTTGCTTGTTAATCATTTAAAATGCAATAAAGTTCTTTTGATCCCTCTCTCAGGTGTATGTATTGTCTTTACCAATGACTGAGATGCTTTTAAACTTTTATAGTTTTTTTCCTAAATAATAACTCATATTTATTGATTATTCCCTTTGTGTCAGGCAAGTAATATATATGATCTCCTTTAAAATCCTTATGGAACTTCTATAATCATTTGCCCTATTTTATAGAGAAAACTGAGGCTTGAAAAGGTTATGTGAATTGCTCAAAGTTACATTCTAGTAAACGTCTAAGCAAGAGTACTAACCTACCTATGTCTGGCTCCAAGACATTCCTAAAGTAAGAGGTTATCTGTTATTGCATGATGGGTACATAGTTTTTTTAGACACAAGTTATGAGGCTAAATTACTGTAAGCATGTCAAGAGGAGTTGCTTCCAGGAAGAGACTCTATTTTTCAAGTTATCTTTAAAAGACTGTCACAATTCTCATAAGGTGTCACATTTACTGTACTTCATTCATAAATGATCATAAAAAAATCAGGACTATACTTACTGAAAAGTCATTGCTCCTGCTTCCAAGGTACACCTGGTAGGGGAGTGTTCATTCAACTTTCGAAAGAGTTGCTTAGCCTGGCTCTGATACTGTTGAAGGTCCCGGCCAGACTGAAAGAAGACACCTTCATTTAAGAATTTTCCACACAAAAAGCTGTGTCAATTAGTGAGAAGCATCATAATATTAGGAGGACACTATGTGAATAAGATCCTTAATTTACAGCTTAATAAGATTCATTTTAATGAGAGAAAAATGATCCTACTTTTACGACAAAAAAGACCTAATCCCTACTTCAAAATCATATTGGTTATTTGCTACGAAGCAAAAGTATGTATCTTCACTACATTTCTGACACTCTCAGTGTTCTTTCCACTATTAGGTCAGTATCTTCTTCCTAACCCCCATTTCACCTTTACAGTTACTGGCACAGAATAGCACAAGCATGTGTTATAATCATGAGAAATTTGTGACTTGCGAATCTTATTTTTATGCAGGCACATCAAGCAAAACCTTCCACAAAGCCTTACATGATTGAGAATTTAAGCAAAACTAAATGTACACACTATTAACTTCAGATAATACGAACACCATGAGTGAAACTAATAAAAAATGAGTAGGGGTATAATAAGGATTGGAAAGTCAAATATCCTTTATGTATAAATCTATTTGGTTCTCTGGATAGCAAAGTTTGAATTCTGAGGAACATGTGCAACAAAATGAAAATAATAACATGTGAGTAATGTAATCATAGGTCATATTTACCTAAAGGATTTCTGGATAATACTATAATTAGTTAAAAAGGGGGAGCGAGGTGAGAGAAATAGTGGAGAAACTACTGGAGAAATAGTGTCATTACTTTCTTTCTGCAGTGCTGGGCCCTCATGCATACTAGGCAAGTGCTCTAGCATTGTAGTAATATCTTTTTGAAAGGAGAGAATGAAGAATAGGAAGCAAACACATTATTTATTCATTTGCATACTAATTGGGGAAAGGAAGACTTTCTGTTGGCTATGATCTGAATGTCTACATCTCCTCAAAATTAACGTTGAAAAAAATTTTTTTAAACCAGGAATTGAACCATTTAACCACTGAGGCGCATATCCAGTCCTTTTTATTTTTTATTTTTATATGTGGTCTTGCTAAGAGATTAGAACCTGCTGAAGCTGGCTTTGAATTTGTAATCCTCCTGCCTCAGCCTCCTGAAATCCTGGGATTATAGGCATGTACAACTTAACCTCAAGGTGATATATACCATTCCTGAGAAATACAATGCTGACACAATCCTTTTGGCTAAATAATAACCTTTTTGGTATACTTACATGACCAAATACTATGTATCCACCCAAACAATGTCATGTAATATTTAATGATATCAGACAATGTTTATCAGATACTGGTAAGTGGAAAATTGAGGTAAAACAGTCTTACAGTATTGTCCGTTATTTAATTATACACAAACATGAGCATACACACACATTTAAGGTCACTCACCAAAAAGATATAATGAGTAGAGATTATAGATAATAATCACCACTGACATTTTGGTCTTTTTGCTTGCATATATTCACTAAACTTTTTAAATAAGCATGAATTAATTTTGCAATGGGAAAAATTAGTCATTTACTCATTAACTCATTCATTCCTGTTTACTGAATATTTGCATCCAGTGTATGATGAGCAAGTCTGGTTTATGAAATTTTTTTAAAAATGTGGCATATATACAATATGAAATATTACTCAGCAATAAAAGAGAATAAAATCATGGCATTTGCAGGTAAATGGATGCAATTGGAGAAGATAATGCTAAGTGAAGTTAGCCAATCCCAAAAAAACAAATGGTGAATGTTTTCTCTGATATAAGGTGACTGTCTCATAGTGGAGTAGGGAGAGGGAGTATGGGAGGAATAGATGAACTCTAGATAGGGCAGAGGAGTGGGAGGGGGCAGGGGCTTAGCCATGATGGGGAATGTGATGGACATCATTATCCAAAGTACATGTATGAAGACATGAATTGGTGTGAACATACTTTATATACAAACAAAGACATGAAAAATTGTGTTTTATATGTGTAATAAGAATTGTGATGTATTCCGCTGTCATGTATTTAAAAAATAAAAGCAATTAAAAAAAAAGATTCTTCAGAAACAGGTAAATGAAATTAAGGGCTCACTTTCTGCCAGGCCCTGTTCTAAACACTTTATATAATTTAACTCATTTAATCTTCACAATTACCTTGAGATGATTATCATATTAATATTTGATAAATCAAACCTGCCTCCGGACCAAGGACTCCAGATCAATAAAGGATGGAGTGAGGATCTGAGCCTAGGTAGTCTGGTCTGGAATCCCTGCTCCAAATATTACATAACACCAATTATATAATTCAAATTTCTTTAATAGTAAATATATCTTCTAAGTGATGTTTTGCTAATTCATAGAATATGCTCAAGAAATCATGTGGCAACTTTGATACAGAAGTCACAAAACAATATAACCTCTACTTTACAGTAATGACCTTTAGATTATTTTCAGTGTCAAAGTCACAAAGGGCTCACAGACAGCTAGTTCACCTAAAAATATTTGAGTGTCCTGATTCTACCTTCTACTTTATCTAGAATAGATTAGTGAACTTTATATACTTTATAATGATCTCTGTTGGTAATCCAATAATGAAGTGGATTAGAATAACTGGACAAATTGTGTAAAATACTTGAAGTAATTTGATAGCATATTTAGGATTTGTCTCTGTATATTACAAAAAGTACAAGGTAGTAATTTGTCGTACAACCACAATAGTTTTTCATTGCTATCTCCTGGGACTGCTAACAACTAGTTCTATCAAGTATCATCTTTTGCCTTAGTAAGAACATTTAGCTAAGCTCTCATCATTTAAAAATCCCTATTGAATTCAGCTGGTCAAAGTCCAGCAGAACCAAGAACCAACCATTTTTCTCTATAATCTACCTTAAATAATTGGGAGAATGAAGCTGTTTAACTGTATAACAGACTATTTGCTTTTTTTTTTTTTTCTTTTTTCTTTTTGAGTTCCCTGTTGGTTAGATCTACCACCTTCTTGAAGTCTAAACTGCCTTCCACAGAGCTGGTGCAAAATTAAAGAGAATACAATCATTTTAAGGTAGAACAGAAAGGTGGATAAAGAAATTGCAAACACCCTAAAAGGAAAAACACCACAAAAAGAGCAAAGGAATACACAGGATATTAGTTAGGGTAGTCTGAGTTTGTGAAGAAAGCTCATCTCTATACCTGCCCTAAGCCTAAATTTCTAGTTAAGTACATAGGAAACACTGTATATAACATTCTGTTATTTTCAGAATTTTGCTCTCAATTATATAATCTGAATAACTTTTCATTTCTAGTAATAAGGCAGCTTGTACAGGGACTGGTACCTAGTAAACACCTAAAATTATCGTTGGAGTTGTGGCTCAGTGGGTAGAGTGCTTGCCTCGAATGTGTGAGGCATTGGGTTCGATCCTCAGCACCACATAAAAATAAAAATAAAGATTTAAAAAAAAATCTTAAAAAAAATTTTTTTTGTAGTTGTAAATGGACAGAATGGCTTTATTTCATGTGTTTATTTTTATGTGGTGCTGAGGATCAAACCCAGTGCCTCATGCATGCTAAGCAAGCACTCTGCCACTGAGCTACAGGACAGGCCCTAAAAAAAAAATCTTAAAAAAAAAAAAGTATTTGGTAGGATAATCTGTTCTTAAAAAGCTACTACTGGACTGGTAAGGAGTGACTACATCATCAAAAGTCCTAGAACAAGGCAGTGGAATTTGGTGGTTAGGCACTAAGCCTGCTCTAGAGCATAACAGATACTGATTAAAAACCAGTGGTTCTCAACCTGGGGTGATTTTTCTCTCAAGGGGACATTTGGCCATGGCTAGAAATATTTTGAATTGTAATTAACGGAAAGAGGTAGAGCTACTGCCATCTGGAGGTAGAGGCCAAGTATGTGCTTACACATCCTAAAATGCACTGAAAAGTCCTTCACAACAAAGAAACCCAAAATGTTGCTGAGGTAAAAAAAAAAAAAATCTTTTTTTTTTTTCAAATATTTATTTTTTTTAGTTCTCGGCAGACACAATATCTTTGTTGGTATGTGGTGCTGAGGATCGAACCCGGGCCACACGCATGCCAGGCGAGTGCGCTACCGCTTGAGCCACATCCCCAGCCCCGTAAAAAAAAATCTTGATGAAAAATTCCACTATGCTACTTACTAGCTGTATAAGTAACCTATTCCCCATAAGCCTCACAGCTTCTTTATCTATAAATAGGGATAATTAAAGAATCTATTCTAATATGATAGGTATGAGGATTGAATAAAATAATGCATTTAGGCTTAGCATAGTGATTGGTATGCAGTATGCCTTCTATAAATGTTTTCTATATAATCATAATAGTAAAAGTAAGTCTAGAACTCATATTTTCAGACATTAAAAGTTTAAGAGACATTCTGCTGTCATATATACCTAATTAAAATAAATATATAAATAAAGATCTAGAGATATGCCTAAAGTAAATAAAATGATCCTAACTCCAAAAAAAAAAAAAAGTTTAAGAGAGACTTTATTACTTAAAAACAAAATTTCTAGAAGAAAATACAATGGAATTATAATCACATAAATATTTGTGTCAAATGTCTTTGTCAATGAAACAAAGCACCCACCTTAGTAAATCAATACCACACTCAAAATTAAGAAACAAACAATAACAAATCAATTAATTTTTTTCAATAAAGTATCAAGGGAGAGTAGGGGCCCTCTAATATTAAGAAAATTTTCAAATCTACTTTATATTCTTTGTCCACAATAGAATAAATGCAAAAGTTGAAAAACTGATCAGATTCTTCCCCTTTCTACTTCACGGCCATCCCTCATGGGTAAAATATTTCTCAAACTACATGTCCTTCAAGGAAATTTCCCCATGTTCTTGGGATCCTTTTTACAATCACACTCTTCCTGCAGAGGGGTTCTAGAAAATTCTTAACAAAAGTGGAGAATCAACAGAAAAACATTTCACAGTTAAAATTCAGGATTAGATATTTTTCAGTTTATTTCAATGAGTAGACTTTGGTGCTGCAACTCTATCATCTGTATAACTACTCTCTTAAAAGTGAAAATAAACAAATTTACTTTCAAAAATAAAGAGGCATAAAATCAAATAGAAGAGTTCCTTACTAACAGATCCTCCTGTCAACTTAGATGTCATTTCTGGGAAGGCCCTTCTGATCTTAGATATCTATGTTTAGCCACAGGACCCCTCCCTCTTCCATAATGGTTCTACATTACAATGGTTAGTTATTTGATTTTTCCACTAGACTGTAATCTCTATGAAGGTGGAGACTGAGTCCTCTCATCCCTTGCATTAACAAAATGCCTGGCACATTTGATGTACTAAGTTTTTTTTTTTTTTTAAATGAGTACCATAAATGAAGAATCCAAGAAAAGAAATGCAGGAAATGTTTTTCCTCTTAGGAATTCATGGTTTTTAAGCCTGAGGTTTTAAAAATCTACTTAGGTTGTATGAGAAAGTAATATAAAATTGACCACTTTAAATAAATTACATAAATTCTATTACTGCCTTCTTTAGGGACCTCCCAGGCTTGTTCCTGACACTTATCTCACACCGAAAATCTCCCATGTGATTCTAAGTCACAAAGCAATTTCCTTTTAAGATAACTGGAGGAGTTATTGTTAATCAATTCAATAAATTTCTGAACCCCCCCTAGCATAAAGCTCCTGTTGTAAAAGCTATAGAGAACACAAAGATGAGTAAGACCTGTCGTTTGTTTGCCTACTAGGAAACTTAACTTACTGAAAGACAAAGCAAAATAAAATAAGGTACAATGAATTGCAGGAATTTGGTATGTTTATTGGGCGAGATAGGAATTGTGCATAACCTTGAAAGAAGGCACCGCAACGAAATTTAACACGAAATTTAACGATTGCATGTAAGTGGTAAAATTACCTCACCCACTTTCAAAAGATGTCAGCAAGCCGGGTCAAGGATCAAGTGCTACAGAAAGACGAGTTGAAGAACTTAGGAACTCACTTTTTCCTAGCATTTGTGTCAACGGCCTTATTAGCAGCAGAAAATCCTAAGTCCTAACTTTGTTACAAAGCCCCTAAAGAGCCACAGAACACAATTAGTGGTCCCACTTAGATCAAACCTATTCCTTTTCCGAAGTATTTTTCTTAAGAGAAACGGGTAACACAAAAATCTGTCTTCGCTTTTAGGAAAGATTTCCTCTCAGGGGTAGCCTCTCCACCACTGAAAGAGCGGAGCACTTCAGACCCGTCGGGAGATCCTGGGAGGTTCGCAAGGGTCTCCCGCGTCCTAGGAAGTAATCCGAAGCTGAAAGCAGCGCGTTCGCGGGGACTTGGGATCCCTGGGATCTGTTAGTGGCTCACCTGTTCGTCCTCCTGCATGGAGGCGGCCAGCGGAAGCCCGTCTGCCACTCGGGCGATCATCGTCAGTAACACCATTTTCGCTGGCTTTAGGGACCCAACACTGGCCCGGGGCGTCGTCCTCACTTCCTCCGCGGCAGCAGCAGTCACACCTCCACCTCAGTTCCCTAAGAGACAACTGCTTGCGTCTCCGCTTCCCGCTGAGGTGGCCGGAAACAGCTCAAGAGTGTTCCACTACCGGTCCCCAAAATTGGCTTCCTACCCAGAACCACAACTACGGAACGTGAGTTCCGCCGTCTCTCCTCCTACCTTTGTAAATTTCCAAAGTCCCGCCCACTTTTCTGAATTTTTGAGCTTCCAATAAATCTCGCTTCTGGATTGGGTGTGGCACCCGAACTGTAAGAATTTTCTAGTTCTTAATACTTTTAAGTTTGGGGAGAGGACTGGAAAGAGGGTGGGAGTTAGTAGGTTGTTAGAAGAAAGTTATGTGAAAGCACTGAAAATCAGGCTATATTTTTCATATTTAATTTTTCTATCTTATAGAAAATTATATACAGAATATTTCCTATATTTGTATATCTCCAGGCAGAGATTTTTTGTTTTTTTCCTTGGCTGCATTTTTTTTTCCATACTGTATCCCCAGAATTTTTTGGACAGTTTCTGGTAGGTCAGTAAATAATGTATGTATGTTATAAAAGAACAAGTACAGGACCTCAGAGATACCTAAGTCAGTCAGCCTAAAACCTTCATGAATCATGCTATACAGCAGGGCAGTCTTACTGGAACTTTCAGTGACTGGGCATTTATTCCCTATTGGAATATCTTCTAGACAATTGAACTTCAGGAACTGTTCCAGTTCTCTGTTCTTTGATATCCCCATCTCTAATCTCAGGAATATTATTCACAGCATTTTTGTGAATATTAGAATAAAATGTAGGAGCAAGGATTTCATAAAATAAAGAGAATTATAAAAAAATCTATCTATTGTAACATATTAATAACATCTAGTCTTAATGTTTATAGCTGGTGCCTACATTAATAGAAATGCTAAGCACTTTATGTATAATTTTTTTAAGAGAGAGAATTTTTTAATATTTATTTTTTAGTTTTCGGTGGACACAACATCTTTTTTTTTTT